ACATGGGCTTGATTGAATTAAAATAAAATTAAAATTTGTTTTTTACCACATTTTCATATATTTCATATATTCACTATTAAGATATCCTATTATAATTCAGTACTAAAGTATCACTTTTACCCGTCAGACGTATAATGTTTCGCTCCGCAAAATCTAACCATAGCAGCTATAAACAGTGCATTTTAAATCCAGAATACCTAAAAAGTAATTCTCAGAGTACAGTTCTGCGACCCCAAAGTGCATAAACACCCCACGACCCAAAACGAAAGTGCCAGGAACAGGTGGTGCAGTGTGGCGGGAACCTGAGGCAACAAGGCGAAATTCGGATAAGTATTTTAATAATATTTGCATGACGCTATTCGTAATACTAAAAACTACTAATTCCAAAATTCACCAAGCCAGCCAAGCCTTCGGGTTTATTCCTTTTCACGTGGAAAAATAAGCATTTACTTTAAAAATACAAACCCATAATTAAAAAAATATAAATGCAACTTAACTTCATTGATCGGTAGTTGCATTACCGACCATCTAAAACTATCTTTCGATAGTGCTCGAACTCTAGACTGAAGACATGGTTTCGCACAGTGGGGCAAACATTGCATACAGCAGTTTCCGATTTTCAGCAGACTCGGACACAGATAAACAGGAAGTACTAAGGACTATCAAGGATAGGTTAGGTTGGGTGGGATTGGGTCATAGCTAACCAATCAAGCCCCGTTCATGAATCGCAATTAAATGGGGGTATTACTAAATCCCTGGTTGAGGGGGATTCCGGATTGTACTTAGTTTTGGGTTAGTCTTATGTCCCCCAAAAACCAAAATGTTTTCCTATCTTGTCCCGCACTCCACTGACCTAAATAGGGCGTATGGCCCGGCCCGGCGACGAAATTCCAGGAAGGGCCTTAACCATCCACGACCTAAGAGAGATTACCGGCCGGGGTGAGAATTCGTATCCACCAAACACACACAGAAAAAACACTAGCATAGCATGAATGGGTGAGCCATTAAACCAATGGGATCTTGTAATCCGTATTCCTAAATAACAGTTCCTATAATACCAATAGGTAGTTAGCACTTGATATTGATATTTATTTGTTAGAATGTTAGAATGATATTGCATTAAATACTAATTTGATTTATTTAATAACGTTACTATTGTATGTATACTATGTATACATTTATCTTAATAAAATCCTTGACATTTAGGCAAAATATTTCCCTATTTTGGTTTAATAGTAATTAATTGAGCAAATATCAATTTAGATTGCTTCAATTTTAATGCATTCAATGACAGGGCTGTTCTTGGTACTATGTTAGATTTTTTTCTGTGCAAACAAAGGTTTTGCGATTTTTTCTAATGAACACCTAAAAGGTCAGTTCTGACAATTTTGATATTACTCTTAAGGTGACGAACCCATGTACCTATAAAAGTCGCGGTTTTTTTGCCTTAAATAAGTCTTTTAGGTCGTTATGGACACAACTGTTCTCCTACTATAATAATTAATAGCAGAAATTCTGCCTTTTTTCTAAACTGGATTCTATTTTCTTCGTCTCGCAGTAAATAATTCCCTTGCTTGTATTAAGACTATTGTGTTTACTTAATTTTACTTCATAATCTCCAAATCTAACCAAGCTTTATTGGTAGGCAGTGGACTGTATAAATTTGAGAAATAGGGGTTGGTGGTGTTAGATTTTTGTTATAGATAAAACGGGCGATAAGAATACTAAAAAAGTAAAGTCCTACCTTATTGCTGGTGCTGGCAGGGCCGTGGTTTCTGGCAATTAGGCTATTAGCGATGGTTTCAAGCGGGTGCGATGCACAAAGCAGGTTAAAGCGGGTACAATATCGCGTGGTAGATCACTGTTTTTCGCGGGGATGCTTGCAGTTCGACACTCGTTGTTTATACACTTACGCCCTCAATCACGCGGCCAAATAGGTAATTAAAAATAGTTGCGGTAAACATGCGCGTTGGGGGGCAATAAGCTGGATATAATATTTAAATAAATATAATAAAAATTAAACAAAATTTGTTTAATTTTTATTATATTTATTTAAATATTATATCCAGCTTATTGCCCCCCAACGCGCATGTTTACCGCAACTATTTTTAATTACCTATTTGGCCGCGTGATTGAGGGCGTAAGTGTATAAACAACGAGTGTCGAACTGCAAGCATCCCCGCGAAAAACAGTGATCTACCACGCGATATTGTACCCGCTTTAACCTGCTTTGTGCATCGCACCCGCTTGAAACCATCGCTAATAGCCTAATTGCCAGAAACCACGGCCCTGCCAGCACCAGCAATAAGGTAGGACTTTACTTTTTTAGTATTCTTATCGCCCGTTTTATCTATAACAAAAATATTTAATATTTAATATTAAATATTTCGCTAAGACGAAAGATTAATAATTCTAAGGCTTGTTTATTGGAGGTGGATTATTAATATTATTATTATTATTATTTTTATTATTAATTGTATCATCATTATTATTATTATTAAAATGTCTAGACTATAAAGGGTTACTGTTAAATAAAATAAAAATCATACTGGTATTTTCTGACTATGTATATTTGTATATTTTACTGAAAACACATCAGCTTATAAACATGTATAGAAATTCTATAACACAACAAACAAGTTTACAACTATTCCATAATAACAGTCTGATATTTGCAATCATAAATTCAAAATCAAAATGCCACGTATTTAGTAGTAATGTTGAAAATTAATGCTTATTAGAAGACAACATTTATACAGAATACTGATTACACAAGGATCATTTAACGTCTATCAATTTATTATCCCTATTAGAAATAATCCAGCTAGTGAAGTTCATTTTATATGTTAGGACAGTTTCATTTTTTTTTCGGAAATTAGTTTTTTCACCATTTATATGTAGTCATGTTTATCCTTTCCAAAAGCAGCAACTTTTTGCTATATGGAAAATGGCAAAATTAAAAGTTTGTTGCAGTGGGTATAGGATACTATACTATAGAATAAGTATATACAGCAGTATAAGTATTGTAAAAGTAATACAAAATTTGTGGAATTTAATTTAATAAATATATATTTTTCTACAATCCTACAATTCTTCTGCAAATTTCGCATGCGTACGTTAATAAAGCTCTTATCCCACTACCCACTACTACCCAACTATTACTTCTTTCAATCAAAATTTAATTTAAAAAGATTAACATTAAGTAAAGTAAATCTTTTAATAATATTTTGTTTGGACTTGTAGTAATTAAATTACTAGAAGGTACGTTATTACCTTAAAGACAGTGTATAATATATACAGCGTATACACACTGTATATAAATTATCAAAGGGAAAAAATAAGGCATTCAATTTTATTAAGTGTAAAATGAATTAAATTAGAAGAAGTTGTGTAAATCATTTTGATGTGTTTTGCTACATGTGTAAAAAATACACGTGAAAAGAAAACACAAAAAATGTTAGTGACTTTGTAAAATAAGCTTAACCCTGCTTAAAATACCCCATAGAGACCTATATAAAATAATCTATCGGGCGCTACCGGATTCAATATGTGCATTTGTCCATGTTTTTTTCCGGATACAGCCCGATAGAAAATTTATAGAAAATTACCTATAGGCACACCATAACTTTTACATTTTCCCTATTGAGAACGATAGCAAATATCTCAATGAAGGATATATAGGGATATTCCTATAGAACAACCATAAAACATTTGACAAAATGTTATTAAAACCTATGGGATCTTATGGGGGAAAAACTAATTTCTACATTTATGTGTATTTTCTCCATTGAAACGGGCATTTTAAAACAGGATGAGTTGGTCATTACCTCACCAGATATCTCAACTTATAAAAAGAAGCTTCTACATTACTTGCTTTCAGGTTGAAAGAGAAAAATTCACTAGAAAAAGGAACCAAAATGACCTTTTACCGTACAAGGCAAAAGGGCCTGCTAAAGGACTCCTGAAAAACATGGGTCTTCCTGAATATGTTTAAGATGATTGGCCCCTATTTATTGACAGCTCAACGGGAAGTTTAAAAATTATTCTTCTACAGAACGGAAACAAATATGGTTCAATAGCAATTGCTCACTCAACGAAAATGAAAGAATAATATAAGACCATAGGTTTGGTTTTGGAGAAGATTAAGTATCATAAACATCAATGAGTGATTTGTGTGGACTTAAAAATGGTAAACTTTCTCCTTGGACTGCCTTTGGAATAGCAGAGACAAAACACCACTGGGTTAGAAAAAAATGGCGTAAGAGAAAAAACATTGACATTGGGAGAAATGATTAACGACCCTTCAGTTGAACGAGAAAAAATCATCTTTCCTCCACTGCGTATCAAACTAGGTCTTTTGAAGCAGTTCGTAGAAGCTTTTGATAAGAGCGGATCATGCTTTGCATATATATATATATATATATATATATATATATATATATATATATATATATATATATATAGAGGGGAAAATGCCTCAGTTGAGTTGGGAAAAACTTAAAGCAGAAATCTTAAAGCAGGAATTTTTAATGGCCAACAAATAAGACAACTCATGAAGGATCCTATCTTCGTAAATTCGATAAATGAGGCTAAGCGAAAGGCATGGACTTTATTTGTTGCAGTTATCAAAAATTTTCTGGGAAAATGCAAACTTAAAACTATGTTGAACGAGATGCTTAACAGTCCCTTGGATGTAACATGAGTATTATGGTTCACTATTTACACAGCCACTTAGATCGTTTTCCTAAATTTAGAAGACATGAGTAAGGAACAAGTTAAAAGATTTTCCCAGGATATTAAAACTGTGGAGGACCGCTACCAATGAAGATGGAATCAGCACTCGAGGGCAGATTACTGCTGGAAAAACATTTAAAACGCATTATGAGGGATATTCTTGATTTTTTCCGTTTGCTTGTGTTTTTCAAAATTTCGAAATTTTTTTGCATAAGTTATACCTACATACCTACCCATATCTTACCCAGGTTACTTCCATTTTTCCTTTAAATGATTAAAATACCAATGCTAGGCTTTGCTGCAGCTACGGGAATTAACATCTTCAAATCAACGGTTCGCATACAATTTCACGAAACGGTAGGCAAGGGTGGCTTTTGGAGGTGGAGGAGTGACTGTTTGGGGTGCAATGGCGATGAATGGAAAGAGTGAATGCTGAGAGATATGGAGATTTGGTTGTTAGTGATATCGTGGCCCCTTATGCTCAAAATGTTGCCAATAATTGGTGTTGGTGGACGACAATGCCCGTCCGCATCGCGCCAATATCGTAAATGAGTATTTAAGGGACCACCATATTGAGAGAATAAATTGTCCACCTTTATCTCCGGATATGAATCCTATTGAGCATGTGTGGAGCAGGATAAAACTGAATATAAAAGAGAGGAAAGGACGCATGGAAAATTTGGATGAATTGGTAAATGCTATTCAGGAAGAATGGGATACCCCAGGAATTTATAAAGAATTTGGTAGAGGCTCAGGGTTAACGATTACGGGTTAGGGGAGGGCCAACGCAATATTGAAAGTTATTTTTGTTATTGTTTGTTAAATTTTTTAGCATAAAATTTTTCAAAATGAACAAACATTTTTTTATTTAACTTTATTACCAATTAGGTAGGTACTTATCAGTGATAAGTAATCACTAGTGCGCAATGTACCTAAATTTAACTTATGTAACATTATCCTAACCACTCAAACAAATTGCAGTAATTTCGCCCAAAAAATGAATCCCCAAATGGCATTTTAATCATAAATATGTATATATATATATATATATATATATATATATATATATGCAAGAAACACGTCAGCAATCGGATTTTATTAAGACATTTAACAGCAGGGAATTGTTTTCGAATTTTGATTCTTGGTAATTTTGGTTTTATCTGAAACTTAAATTTGACAACTGAATCACAATCAGGAGGTCAAAATTATAAAGAAAACATGTCACGGACGTAAGTATCGGTTCAGGTTTAGTTTTCGCAAATTTTCACCAAATTGTCATTTTAAAAGTGGTCTTTGCTTAGGCCTCTCTGAAAAGAAAAGTTTGTTGCTTGTCGCTTGTTCAAAATTATTCAAGGAACAATCTTTCATTGCACCATTTTATCTTCTTTCTTTGCACCATTTTATATTCTTGTTCTTAAAAAGACTGAGTGTATTGCCTACCAAAAACCCTTAAATGTACTCTTAGCTGTTGGTCTAATTATAATCTTTTAAATGTTGTATGTTCACCTTTGAGTCAAAGGCTTTGACTGAAATCCAACTAAAAAACATTAGGTAAACATATAAAAACACGAAACATCCTTAGGATGAGCTTTAGAGAGCGAAACCGGAAGCAAGAACATGCCGTCACTTTACCAAGGCCGGAATACAAGAAAGCGAAGTGCAATTATTATGGGAGCATGATCGCGCTACCGCCGCGGCGCCGTCGCCGCCCCCGTGCTGAGTTCGTGACAACTTGTCGTATATTTTCGCGCAATCATCATGAACCCATCCCCTTGCCGGCGCCTCTGATAAAAACTCTTTAAGAATTATCATCGCTGCATCATGGGGATACTTAGTACACCGAAAAAACAATTTGTTTGAGAGAAACGAAATTGATTTTAGGTAAACTAATCCTGTGGTTGAATATTGCGCAACTAATATAGACTTAAGGCAAGTAATTACTTAGTTTGGTAAAGTTGGTTTCGAACAAACTTATTTTAATTTGACGTAAATGCATACATTTCTTTACAAATAGCAGATTATGTTCTTGCAACTAAATATTTATTTCTAATAAATTTTTCATTTCTTTGTATTAAACATGCACCTATTTGGGATAAACGCATGTGCTTTATTGCAACAGAACAATAATTTCGTCACAAAAAAGCAACTTGTTATCACGACAGAATTAATTTGCTCAAAACGAAAATTTCATTGTCAGGAATAAGCCCTTTATTTGCAATAAAATTATTTAAATGCAGGAGAGGCTGGTTATTGAAAATCTAAATAAATTCAATAAAACAATTTTATTTTATAATATTTATAACAAAATACAGAGTATAATATAGAGTATAATAATATTATGTATACATATAAAAATATTTTTAACCAAAAAAATAAAACAAGAATACAAAACAAAATCTTAACTATAGTTATAGCTAACTCATTTTAAACAACAAATATTCAAAAAGTTATCTCATACTTCAGTAATCATGTACCAACCTATACATAAAATATAAAAAGGTAACAAAAGTCAATAAATTAGTCCTGATTAAAAAGAATAATAGTTTTATGTCCTTCTGTAATTGAATGAAATTTACTTAAATATCATTTTATTATAAATGGGATAATTAATTACACGATTAGTTATAGTTAATAAAAATTGTGGCAATATTTTTCGATGGTTACACTAGATATTTTGTCCTTTTTGCCAATTTTTATATAGATACAGGGGGCCTTCCTACTTTTCTTAAAATTATATGGACAAGTGACATTTAAATAAATAAGTACTCACCATTAATAGTTCACTCAACACACCCTGCATTTTTATCTGCGTAAAATTATGTACTGCATGTATTTCATACACTTGTTTACTGGTTCGTAACAAAGAAGTTATTTGGTTCACAATGGCTGCCTTGCGTTTGCTAGCATCCCTACCAAAAAATATTTTAAACAAATAAATATTTGGTAAAAACTGATTTCTTTGTGTCAAAATGATATATTTTAATAATCTTATATTTAATATGATAAGTTGTTTATAACTTAATTTCATTTAAATTAATGGCAAAGTAACAACTAATTGACCAATATTGTCACAGAAAAATGATCTTATTTCTAACCAATATGCGTAAGTTGTGGCAAATACATAATATAGAAACTAAGACCCATGTTTGTAATGACCAAACTATTTTATCGGTGTAGAGAGTAAGGTCGGGTAATGTTGCAACTTATTTTCTGGGTGCTTATAAAATAGGCACTACTCAACGATACATGTTTACATTTTTAATTTATCGCTAATCAGAAATCTGCAGAATTAGCTCAAGTTTATAAATTCTTAGTTTAATAAAATAATACAGTAAAACTTTTTTACGTATAATTGACTAACATTAATTACTTATCGGGGGTAATTACACAAGTGCTTAAAAATTATCTATAATTTTGCTTGAAAGCATATTGCCTAAAAAATGCGTAAGTTCATTTTCGTATTTCCCCAAAAATATTAAAATGACCGAATGCATTTTTTAAAAGGCAATATGCTTGAATGCAAAATTATCTGATTATTTTTATGCATGAGTGTAATTTGTTTCGATAATTACACGAATAAACTAATTAAATCAAAGAGTAACATTTTTAAATATTTTAACACTATTTTACACATTTTCATTAATTGATTCAAATGATTCTTTACCAAAACGTGACATTTTAAATAACTGTCATATTAAAATAAAAACTGAAGTTATTTTTTTTTAATTGTGTTTTCAAACCTTTTAATATAAATATTAGAATCGAACCCCTAAATTACACAGTAAAAAAATATTTTAGTGTTCTCCCAGGTGAAAGTTGTAGAGTGAAAAAGTTAGTGTAAAACATCACACTATTTTCAATCCTAAAATATATTTTTTCGTCTAAGTGCGATGAAATGAGAGTAGTGTTCCACATCAATCTAACTTTACAATATTCATTTAACACTAGCCAAGCTCTGGCAGTGCACATTAGTGTAAATATGCAATCAGGGGGTGTTCAGTTGACAAAAACGCAAACTTGTTTCGTTCATTGTTCTCTCAGAATTTGTGTTGGAAGAATGCACCAAGCTGTTTACTTGTGGTTTATAATTATTAACTAAGGGTAAGTCAATTTCGAAGTATTATTGTACAGACAAATTTCAAGTACAGTTCTTACAATAGCTCAGTTTAATATACGAGGGTGGTTCAAATATAAACCGGAATTTTGCTATAAAATTTTTTATTATTAAGTTACAGAGCTGAAATTTTTTACAATTTTTTTAGATAGTCTCCGTCACACTCTACACACTTTTGCCACCTCTCCGGAAGCTTTCGGATGCCTTGTTCGTAAAAATCTCTCGGCTTGTCACGTAACCATTCGCGCACGAAGGATTCTACCTCCGCATTGCTTTCGAATCGCAGTCCGCCAAGTGCCTCTTTCAATGGACCGAACAAATACTAGTCGCATGGCGACAAATCGGGACTATAAGAAGGGTGTTCCAGTGTTTCCCAATCCAATTCGTTCAATGTTTTCATCAAAGTTCCCAGCGTGTGAATTTCTGCTCAAAATTCAGAAGTCTTGGCACCCATCTAGCTGAAATTTTGCAGTAACCGAGCCGTTTATGAATTATTTGCTCAATACTACCTACGCTGATGCCCAATTCTTCAGCCATATCGCGTACAGTACTGCGTCGGTCTTCCAAAATGAGTTTTTCTACAGCGCTGACGTTCTCATCTGTAACACTTGTTTTGGGGCGCCGCGCATATGGCAAGTGCCACCACTTCTCGGCCTTTTCGGAAAGCGGAACACCATTCATAAACTTGGGTCTTGGAGAGGCACTCATCCCCGAACTGCTCAAGTAATTTTTGATAAAATTTCCGCGGATTTTACATTATCTTTGACCAAAATACGAATAATGATGCGTTGCGCAACAGACACTGGTACATCCTTCTCGCTCATGGCTATAACTACACTGAAAAGCGAGGTTACGGAGTCCCGGCTGTTCTCTACGCTTCGTAACAGACCAGTCTAACATCCAGTGCAGCCACTTTTACGACACTAAATTTTTCGCCCGTTTATTCAAAAATTCCGGTTTATATTTGAACCACCCTCGTATATAATAAGTAAATCGTTATTTTTAAATTTTTACATGTCCATGATGCCAAGTTTAATAAAAACTTAAATCATACCTCGAAGACAAAAAACAAAAGGTATATTGGAATGACAAAATAACAGCAGAAGCTACTGTAAAGTATGGGGTGCCGCAAGGATCTATATTAGGCCCAATATTATTTATTGTATACATTAATGACCTAAAAATCCATGAAAGCAATGTCTGTACTTACCTTTATGCAGATGATACCACCTATTTATTAAAATCATTTAACGAAAAAGACTAAAAGCAAAGGAACTAAAAACACTTGAAGAGTCAAAGACATGGTTTGAAGTAAACAAACTAAATTAAAGATAAAACGCAACATCTTTATTTTGGAAAAAAGGAAAAGGATAATTTGAAGTTTTTGGGTGTAACCATAGACAACAAACTTACCTGGACAACGCATACGGAATATTTAATAAAAAGAATGTCTTCTGCAATATATTCCCTTCGAGTTGTAAAAAAATTCAGTACACAAGAAGCAGCTCTCTGTACATACTTTGCCAACTGCCATAGCATACTATCCTATGCAATACTT